GAGTGTTAGGCAGTGTAAATGTTTATCATAGATTCATACCTAATTATGCTAAATTAAGATCTCCTCTAAATAAATTATTGAAAAAAGATGTACCATGGCATTGGGATGATCAATGTCAAACTGCTTTTGACGAACTGAAAAATATTCTTATTTCAAAACCAGTCTTACAATTGTATGATCCAAATAAACCTTGTCATGTTTTTGTTGATGCATCACAGATTGCTGTGGGAGCTGTTTTGAAGCAGCCAGATGAAAGTAATGTATTACACCCAGTTTCCTACCATTCTAGAGCTTTAAAAGATTACGAAAAAAATTATGCAATTACAGAACTTGAATGTTTAGCTATTGTTGATGCATTAGATAAATTTTATTACTATCTTCACGGTCAAAAATTTACAATCCATACCGATCATGCAGCCCTTGTTTGGCTTAAAAATGTTAAGAATTTAAGAGGCAGATTATTCCGTTGGTCACTCCGACTCAGTATGTTTGATTACGAAGTTAAATATCAAAAAGGCTCTACAAACGTTGAAGCTGATATGCTTTCTAGACAACCTGTTTCTCACCAGCTCCAACATTCTGTGTATTTACTTAATCGTGATGAAATTATACAACAGCAAAAAAGTGACAATGTGTGTGATAAAAAATATGTAGAACTAAATGATTTGATGGTAATTAAGAAGAAAAAAGGTTATAAAATTGTGGTACCAAAATCCTTAAAATTAAAATTATTAACTGAAACTAATGAAAAATTTGGACACCCAGGTATTCATGCTATGTTAAATTTAATCACCCCACAATATTATTGGCCCTACATTAGTAAAGATATTGGAAATTTCGTGAAACATTGCCATGTTTGTCAAATTAATAAAAAGAAAAAAACCAAAAAATTTGGACTTATGCAAGAAGTACCCCAACTGATAAACCTTTTGAATGTCTTTCTATTGATACAGTCGGCGGTTTTAATTATTATAATTCTACAAAAAAAAATATTTATATCTTGTGATCGATCACGCCACAAGATATGTCTGGGCTTTTCCATCTAAAAGTGCAACTACAGAAACTTATGCTAATATTTTGAAACAAATTTTCCAAATTCAAATCCCCCAAAAAATCCTTAGTGACCGCAATGCCACATTCACCTGCAATAGATTCAAAATATTTTTTATAGTAAAACAACTTCTAACTACTGCCCATCACCCCCAGACAAATGGTAAAGTAGAGCATGTGAACCAAACCATAGTAACCCATTTAAGATGTGGTTATTAGTGAATATAATAATTCCCCTCAATAGGTAACTAAATTCACCCCTGCATATCTTTTATTCGAAAAACTTCCTTTCGATTCTCCCCTAGATCAAAATACTTACCCTTCGGTTGACATAGCGAGAAAATTAGCTAACGAGAGAACTATTGAAAATCATAAAAGGAATAAAAGTCATTATGACACAAAATTTGCAGATGTAGAATTTTCAACCTGGTAATCTAGTTTTATTTGATAAATTTGAATTTCCGAATACACGTAAATTGACACCTCCCTATTCTGCACCATACCAAATTGTCAAAAAATTATCTGAGGTTAATTATGAAATTGATAAAAAGAATTACCACACAAAGAAACCTACTGATATTGTCCATATTTCCAGACTACGACACTACCAAGACCCAGAAAATTTTAAACTACATCACCAATAGGTAGACACACCTTCCTTTTGGTAAACGCTCAACTGGGGTTGCTACTAAAGGTAATTAGAGCACCTCTAATTATTTAATGTCTAATTTTCTGTGTTGTAAATTTTTGGTGTGTTGTTTCTTTGTATTTATTTTGTATTTATGTGTCAATTTTTTGGCAACGACATTAATGGTAATTATAAAATACTATTGAAGTTGAAAGTTGTGTTGAACGACAATGCAGTATATGACATAATTGTCATTGTCGATAGTAAAAGGTAAAATACGAGTAAAATTATTGTGTAAAATGATTATTATCAAAATAAGTGTTTTATATGAATAAGTAGTCAAAATGAAATACTGTAAACAAACTAAAAGTCAAAAGGAAATGTTAAGAAATTAGTCAAGTATTGCAATTGTCAATGATATGAAGAAAAAAATAGAGGAATACCTCACCTCAAATAGAAATTTTTAATATTAAAGCCACGGCGAACTGGAAATGAAAGATTTGTAAAATAAGAACTGCTCTAATGTTTTGCAGCAATCTCTAAAGACCTGGATCCAGAACTGAAACTGTTCTCGAGAAATGTTATTTGAATACTGCAGGAAATGGTTATTTTTCTTTATTTCATTGTCATCCGGTTTTAATTTTTATATTAAATTGTATAACTGTTAAACCCAATCCACTTAATATTAAGAGTATTTAAATGATTTTTTCACTTAAACTGTTTGCGTTGGTTCACTATAAACAGTATCACTTTTCAAATTGTTGCCACCAAATAATTTCACCCTGTATTATTTTTAAAGGAATTAAATAAGAAAGAATCTGCATTAAACGTATGTATGTTTCTCGCACTGTGATGAAAGAACGTCACCTAGAATGTTTGAATGTATGGTTCTCACAATGTAAAAAACGACGATGCAGTCGCACAAGGAGGCAGGGTACAGAGAGGGAAAATTTTTGGATTTAGAAGTATGTAACATTCGAAAATGGCAAACTTAAAAGCGGATCGATTTTTTTTGACTAATAATCTGGAGGGGGGGGGGAAATCATTCCTAAGAATTTATGCTTTCCTTTCTTAAAGACACAAAATCATTGACGTAAGTTGAGCAGTCGTGGCATGAAAGGACTTCGCCCCACCCACATGACGAAATGGTGTCCTTGTCCAGAAAACGCAAAGAATTTATGACACCACATTTAGAAAAGAGAGATTTCCCGTTTCTTAGGGATCTTTGAACGAATTCAAGGTCAGAGAAAAAAGAGGCAACTTTTATACCACAGGCTAGACAAAAAGTTTCATTCTGGTTCCTTAAACATTAGCGGCAAATATTCAGTTAATTTTTTTCCATTAAAATTTATCGAAATTATGACCTCTTCACTCATGGGAGAGGGAAATGGAATGGATAATATTTTACTTGAAATAATGAGTAAATCAATTTCCTATTAAAATTTTCGAATATTCTCAATGCGGCTTAAAGTGCAGGTTAAGAATTCTTAAAATTCCTAACGAAATTAAATCTAAAGGCACAGAACTCCTAAAATTTATCTTGTTTACTAAGCATATTTTATCGTTGAGGATTTAAATGGTTTGCTTTAGGAAAGGGAACAGCTGTGGTGTTTAGACTATAAATTATCCATCTACCAAAAATTCACACTAATCTGTAAAAGATAATTCTGAAGATATTAAATTTGTTTTGAAAGAAATATTTTAATTTTCCTTCATTTGAAAAAATACAATAAATTACAAATATTTTTAACAACGTGAAACATTTAATTGTAGAATTCAGTAATGTGCAATAATTTTTATGTTATTTAAATGGAACTGAATTGAATTACTATATAATAATAAAGCATTCGAGGAATATTTAATTAGAGGGAAGAACACCTTCGTGGAGTAGTTTCTAATCGTTATTTGAAATGAAATTTTAAAATTTACACTTCTGCTTTTAATTTTTATTCTACTTTTACTTTTTATAGCATTCAGTACGTGAAATCATCAATAATATTATAATAATGATAATGAAAATGACATCATACAACTAAAAGTATATACTACTTTGCAAATTTCGATAAATTAATTAAGCATATCAATGGCAGCATTGACCTAATAGTTTTAAATTGAATTTCAACATCTGAAAGAACACGGATTACACTGCAGTTTTCTCTACACAGACGAATGGAATATTTCAGAAAAGAATTCTCTTTCTTTACCGCAATATTTCAATAATTTTCACAATTAAAAAATTTAGTTTAGTTTTTCACTTATAAAATCTCTTTTAGCATTATTCTCTTTCATTTTGGCACCACTGCGTAACTTTTCTAATAGATAAATAGGTTCCGTTAATATGTGTTCCCATACATTATATGTATTTTTCCTATTTCTGTCATTAATAAATTAATGTTTAAGATAAAAAAATTATACGGCTTTATTTATAAGCAATGTAAAAACTGGAAATCTGAGGTCATTAATTTCTGAAACAGAAATAGTTGTTTTAAGACGTAAAAAAAGATAACAATAATCAAAAATATTCAAGGTACAACAATGCAATTTTGTGAGTATTTTAATATGACCAACTTATCCATAACTGGCCCTGAATCATGCTGCTTTGGCAAGTGTTTTATGGCCAATGGGATAATACATAAATAAATCAAAAAAATAATAATGATAAAAAAGATTAATAACTGACACCCAGAATGCTTGTAATATAAGCAGGGAAAAAAAAAAAAAAGAAGAAGAAGAATATTTCACTACATTTCAATCAGCAGTGTCATCACAGAAAGTTTTTTTTTTTTGGCCAAATACAATATTCCTGTTATCATCCAAAAGAAAAAATTGCCAAGGTTTTTTTTGAAGAATTATGGCTAACAGCTTTTTAGTCACCAGAATGGCCAGTTTGAATGGGCAGGTAGGAAAAGAAGTTCTTGAAAACTTGCTTTAAAAATTTTAAAATGTAAAAGCAATACAATAATTAATCCATTTTGAATCCTTGCATGCATATAATAAGTTGCAGCACATACAGTATTTGAATATAAAAGTTGGTGAATTTATATATAAAAAATGTAACATATTTTGAGATATCAAGATTGCAGGATTAAAACTCACAAAACATAACAAAAGAAATGCTTTTTCCCTTTAATTTATATCTTTATACCTAATATTTTAATTTGCATATAAAAAGTACATAAACTTCAGAACCACTTAACATAGAGACAAATAAAGATTAACAGGCAAACTATCCATCGCTTTTCTAAGCTGATGCTCCTAATATCAGAAAAACAAAAATTTTATTTCTACATATAAGAATATATACAAAAATATGTTCTCTTACCTCTGAAGCCTGTCAGCCAATAAGGCACCCCACAAGCCATTACGAGGTTCAAAGGAACGCTAAAAATACATTATAATAATAACTATTATTTTTTATTATTTATCATCAATGAACTACTAGAGACAGAAGTGAACCCATAAAAAGTAAATATTAAACAATGGAATGATACTATAAAACAGAGGTTCTCAACTGGTGGTACACAAGAGAAAAATAGGTGGTAAGCAAAGTATTTTTAACTATTAAATTCAAAAATTAAAACCCCAACATCTTAATTGAGTTTTTTTCTCTAGCACTCGTCTCGTAAATTTATACGATCTGAGCTATGTTCAACAGTGGTAGTGGAGATACTAAAGGTTTTCAATTTTTGTTTAGATGGTGCGCATTAGTCAAAAGGTTGAGAACCACTGCTATAAACTTTCCAACATTAGTATTTTTTTAATATTAAATTTTTAAAAACTGCTTTTTTAATAATATAATCCATGGAAACAATATTAGGCATCACATTAAGTCTTAGACTGGGAATGATTTATTGAAAATACGTAGAAACATATGTATTTATCTCAAAAACCTACTTACAAATAAATTTTTATTTGTTTTGCTCAGATGGAAATTTCATGGCAATTGTTTTACGAACAGAATTGTTCTCTCCAGTAATGTTCCAGAAAAGTACTGTGTTTCTGCAGAAATTTTATGTCAGTTTGTAACACTGCAAGCTAATCTAACAAGTGTCCAATTTAAAACAAAAAATATGAATTATTTGTGAAAAAGGGCATATGAAAATGGTGATGTTCAGTTTTAATGAAAACTGAAGAACTGTTATGTGCATATTTGGCAAAGCTTGGAGCATTCTGAAAATTTGGTATCTACTAAGGTGGATGTGCTAATAGATACATATCGCAAATATAAAACCATTTTGGCATGTATTAACAGAGAAGGACTAGCTAACTTCTGCAGTAGAATAAAAGCTTGGAATATACCCAATTCTGGATAGCTAAGCATATTAAAATTGGAATTCACGTTAAAAAATCCAAATGAATGGGAAAAATTTCAATTCTAAAATTATAAACACAACCATATTTACATTTAAAATTATACAAGATTTTTAAAAAATGTATTCCATTTTCTGGCCAACATATTTTGATTTTGCTATTATCATGAAATCCCACCACACATGAAGTTGGTGGAGATGTCACTAGTCATTCCAGTAGAAATTTAAGTGAACAAATCGTTCTTTGTTTAATTAGATAATAAAGAGATGCAAACTGAGGATATAGCATTTAAAAAACTCTATCATAACTTTTCATGTTTACATCATTATTATTTTATACGTTTGATACGTATCATGGTTTTTTTTTTTTTTTTTTTTTGTGCCTGGATCATGTAACTTTGGAAATTCATCACTTCATGCAGTCTTAAATATTAATATTTTTCATTCAAAATGCATGAAAAAACTGAATTTATATCCTTCTTTACAAAAATTAAACCTCTAATCACATTGCTTGCATAAGGATATGTGTGTAATATACAAGAAATTAAATCTCTTTACTGATTTTTTGGAGGGGAAAAAAAAATTTCTAAACCTCTTAAATATTTTGGTTACCTGAGATTTCCAGTTAGCCGAATATTGGGTAGTTAAGCTTTTATTGTAATTTGGTACAATTAGTTTATTTTTAATCGTCAAAATCATTATCCAACTCTCGGGATTTCGGCAATTCCGGATTAAGATCATCAGTTTAAATCTGGTAATTGCATGCAGAAATTATAAATTAAAAATTTGAAACTGTAATTTATGAAATAAAACAATTATGATCTAAAGGGTATCAAAATTTACAAAAAAAAAAAAAAAAGAGGCTTAATATTTGTTTACTTCATTAAACATTTCCTTCAATACAAGTTAAGTTGCTTCTCTTGTGCCAATACTTTCTCTTTAATTCTATAGACGGACATAATTTCTTGTTTAGTTACAAAGTTCCATTTTGTTCAAGTCCTGTAATTGCTATGTCGAGAATACGACTAACTTGTCAATTAAAATTTTTTCGTTTTCAGTAACCACTCTGTCACTTTCTTCACTATCGGAAGCAATTATAACGAGGAATTTGATTTTAAAATCATATCAAAGACGGAGTACATCGATGAAGTACATTTAGTAAGGAATTATAAGCCAATAAAATAAAACATCTGCCTGAAGATAATGGATAAGTGCTGACAGATCAACTTCCAATTCATTGCCGCGGCATTCCCTCCCCGCAGCAGCAGCGTAAATTGATAAAAGATTTCGGAGTGGTTAGAAAACTACGGATATGCCTTTATCCATTTTTGCAGCAATTCCACTTTTTGTTTAATGGACTTTGAAACATACTTTCGCTTTGTAGATCTTTACATATTTTAAATTATATCAGGATTCTATTTGACATAATCGAAAGTTCAGCTTACTTTTATAAAATTGCTCTAACAGTAGCAAAAAATAACAAGCCATCCAATTCGAAGATTAAGGAACAACGCAATCTGCAAATTACTGAATTAGATAATTTTAGCTTATACCGTCCGTTATACATAAACGCTGCGTAAACGTATTTGTGCATCCACAGCATATCCAGCGTAAAATCTTACATCTTATGCATGTGCAGAATGTTTGTAGTTTTGAGGTCCGGATTATAGATCATTCCGGATTATGGGTGTCCGAATTAACGACTTTTGACTGTATTAGACAGAACATATTTGGCAATTGCTTCTACAATAGATTTGATGGGTTATACCCTTAGCTACAACTTTCTCCTGCTACATGAACTCCGCTAAATATGATTTAAAATGGTGTCCTATTGTATCCTATGTTTCTCATTTCTTCATTTTAAAGAACTCCATATCTGCTCAAAATTTTGCTTACGAGCTTCGAAATGTGGATCTACAAAGCTGAATTTGTTTTTACTTTGAACAGCTAAAAAATGGATTTTTTGAATTTTTCTGTTTTATAGGCAGCTTAGGAATCGGAATAAATATTTGTTTCTTTCTTAATTGCATTTTAAAAATTCATAGCATTTTAATTGGACATTATAACAATAAAACCTTTGTTGCATAGAAATAATCTAGAGAAGTTAAACGAAAATGTTTGTATTTTTTGACTTTAAATAACCTTAGTAATAATTAAAAAAATTAATTTTATTCAAATTTCGTTTTAAATAATTGATACAGTTTGTCCACTACAGTGGTCAGCATGCATATACATGCATACAAATCTCTTTTCAACGCTTTACGGTCATTGCATTTGAAATCATTTCCTGCCTTGTTTGCAGTGACTATTGACATCTTTTAAAAGGTAAATCTACAACCGACACACACATACTGATCCCTCAAAATACCTCCATTTCGTCAATTTTGATTGAATTCATTTGCTATGATTTTGTAACCTGCATCTATTGGATTCAAATGTCAAATGTTGCAGAAATTCTTTGCCAAATGCAGTCTTAAACATTTCGAGTGGTGTTTTGGTTTGACAAGAAGTACCTTTGGGTTTCAATTCACTCTTTTCGGTAGAGTGTTGAGGAAGATCTTTATAACCATTCATAGGGAATTTTCTTTTTCTCCTGCAGATTTCTTATTTTGCATAGTTGATTTTATAAGTGAAATTTCTGCTTCTTCATTTTCTGGCTTATCATCAGCATCATCATGGTGGAATGTCAGCTCTTCCTCATCATCACTGCTAATAGAAAATTTCTCCTTCATGATTCTGTCAATTTCATATTCAGTCAAAAGCTTTTTCCGTTTCAGATTTCTAACAAAATATCAACTAAAATTTGATATAACTTTTTTTATTATCTAATTAATTAATAGCATGCTTAAATCAAATTAATTATTTAAAATAAATTGTTGCAACCAACAGACCCCTCTCTGTTTGAAACTTAGGATTTTTGCAAATTTCCTCCTGCCATAATATCATAAAAAAGCATTAGATTTAGTTTATGATGTCCATTACAGTAGACACAGTTAAATTAGCTTGTATTCATGACGTCTACTGTAGTGGACAAAAGAAAAATGCCCTCTTATTTCAATAAAATTAGCTTCTCAACAATATTTTCAAACACACATTTAATATAATATGTCTAAAATTACTAATTATGAATAAAAATAGCAGTATTAGAAATTGTAAGCAATATTATATAATGTTTACTATGAGAAATTATACTAAGCTGGAAACAGAAGTAGCAGCCATTTTACAAACAGCAGTGCTTTACTTAGTGATGCTATACTGCCATCTATGATCAACAGCTGAAAGTTCTAATGATATAAAATGAATAAACACAGGAATGAAATCTGTTAAGGAATTTACAGAAGAATTAAAACTTTTGTCTACTAGAGCAGACATAATGCAACAAAGGGTTAAGAGGCAGGCCACAGTCACCAGAGCTTAATTTCTAAGATTAGAAGAGCTGGAGCACTATGAAAGACCATCAGCAAAGAGGAACAAGAGTAAATAAATAAATAAAATCTCTATCAAACTCATTAATAATTTTTAATTAAACAGTTAATTATTATCAAATTAATTAAATAACTATTTAATTAATGTTATAAATTGTTATTTAATCAATATTATATAATTAATTATAATTTATTAGATAATTATTTTATTGAAATAATTAAAGATTGAAGTAATTAAATAGTCAAAATAAAATAAAATGTAAAGAGATAAATTGAACTTATCTCTTTACATTTTATTTTTTAAGCAATTTTTTAAATAATTATATTGTTAAAATAAAATTTCTACTGAAATTGTTATTCAATTACATAAAAGAAGTGCCGCAGCCTTCTTATTCAGGGCTCCGGTGCGTTCAGGCGGCTAGAATTATGATTTATTGCAAAGACACCGCAGCCGAAATCCGGTGGGCTTCAGCCCAATTTAAGCTCTGATTGTAGGGGATGGGAGTTCTTTAATCATCACAAAAATTAAATATACTTAAACTATAGTTGATGAAAATTCCAGGACGAAACAGAATGAGGGTTTGAGTGGGTGGAATCTTGGTGAGAGAGAGAACGTTCGTTCTCTTTGACCGTGTTCTCTTCAGATGGCTCTCTGCTGATATAATTACAGCCATCAAGCAGTTGTGTGTGGGGGGGTAAAATGAGTCCTGAATCTGACTTAAGGATGAATGTAAAGTTGCTGGTTACGCTTTCCCCCATTAGTGGATACTGTAGGAAGACAATGTAGAGGACGTGCTTGAACAGTTTATCTCAGTAAGCACTCTAACTGTACTCACTGTCACTTAACATACATTTAAGAACACAAATTTTCCTTCCCTGTGAGGAAAACTAACTGTAAGCATCGATAACAATACATTAGATACGATGGCATTGGCAAGAAATTTATGCGTTCCTAAACAAACTCCCAAAAATTTATTGCCCTTCTTAAAGGGAAAGGTTTCCGCATGTGAGTGAGGGGACTTTACTTCAATGTCTCATGAGTTCGTATTTCTAGGGAAATAGAGTATTGCAAGGTCTGCTTATTGTTAAACTAAAACGTTAGGAATTCTAAATTCCCCCCCTTAAATTATGGTTTAGTTTTATAAAAAGAAATACCGGAGCTCATCTTATTTAGGGCTCCCGGTGCGCTCCAGCTAGAATTGTAATTTATCTTAAAAATTGAAAAGTACCGGAGCCGGGCTCCGGCGCAAGTTAAGCACTGACAGTCACTAAAGTTGCTTCAGTTGAAGTCTATCAAAATGTGGATATTCAACTAGAAAGTGGTGCACCAACAGAATACTATCAGAAACTGAACAAAAGATTCACTCTTGGCCTTCAAAAGGTAACTGTGTGTGGTTCAATTTTAAAGGCAGGTCAAAATTACTTCTACTAGTTGCCTTTCAATACACTTTACATTACTCTTCTCAACTTATTCACAAGCTAATCCTCCCACAACAGTTCTCATTAAAAATTCTCTTCTGGTTCACCATTCTAATATCTCTGCAGGAGAAAGGCTGATTAAAATATACAATTGCAGACTTGGCTGTTTTGTCTGCTAGCTCATTACCTTTCACACCTGCATGTCCAGGAATCCAGTAGTAAAAAATCTGATGATCACAGATCTTTAAATTTTGATGTATGTCAAGTAACAGAGGATTCTGGGTATCGAAAAACCTTCTAAAGATTTTAATGCATTGAGCAAGTCAATATAAATTACAAACTTTTTTGGCATGACTTAGTTATGAATGAAAAAGCAAGATACACAGCAGATATCACACAGTCATTTGCCTTCTTTCAATTTCAAAACGACGCTCCTACATGACCAACTAGTTTCGAACTATTTGTGTATATAGGAGCAAAACTGCTGCATTCATGCCTACGGTCAAGAAAAAGCTGCCTGTATACTATTCCATTAATTTTTCTCTTATCAAGATGGTGAAAAGCTGACTTTTTAAATTGGCAGGATTTCTAGATATTTTACTGCCTGGGCTTCAAATCAGACAGCATTTTTTTTATCAATGACTAAACTTCTTCAGAGAATGGAAAAACTAAGCTTGTAACAGTCATCAAAGACCACAGATCTGCACAGGATGATTATGCTGTGACATAATGTTGAAATAATAATAAAGAGACACATTAACTGAAGTGATGATTTGTAACAATCAACATACAGGGTCTGGACAGATGTTTTAAAGGCTTCAAAATAAATTCTCACAGCCTGATGATTAACAGATTCAAATTTCAGTAAAACTGAAGATCAAACAGATCCATAAAAACTAAGCCATAGTCTAATCTAGAGCGAATAAGTGCTCTCTAAATGCGATATAAAGAGCCACGCTCTGCTCACCAAAAATTTTAAAATACTTCTTCCTCAAGTACTGCACATGTGGAAGAAAGATGACATTCTGATCAAATATCACTCCCAAAAACTTCACTTCTAATGCAACTGAAATTACTGATTCATAATGATATAATACAGACCTCACTTTTTACAAAAATGCATACAAACAGTCTTCTGTTTAGAGAACACAAATCCTTGTTTTTCTGACCATTTCTGAATCATGCTAACAGCCATCTGTAACTGTCTCTCCACATATGTCATAGTTGCACCATGGCAATTTATTTTGAGACAACTGACATACAAGAAACCTGAAATGGTTGGAGGAAGTTCCCTTAGTACAGACATTATTTTTAAGCAAAATAGAATCACACTTGAAACACAACCTTGAGGCATACCCATTTCTTGCTTGTAGCTATCAGACGACAATCCTTACTTGGAAAGTTCAGAATGAAAATTGGTAAGTTGCCATGGAAGCCAAAGTTGATCATGAAGAACATGTAAAATGCCATATCTCCATGCTTTTTCAGTGTCAAAGAAAATGAAAACAATATGGTTTCTTTTAATGGATAGAGGTTTCCAAACAAAGCATGTTATTGATGGTCAACCGTCCCTCACAGAACTGCTCTGATAAAGTGAGACAACACTTTTTTTTGACATAGACTAGGCAGCAGTTTACCATTTTTTCAAATAATTTGCTAACACTGCTAAGTGTGACAGGACAATAGTTTGAGGGATTCTTCGGGTCTTTCCCTGGTTTACTCGTGGGAGTGACAACAGCTTTCTTCCATGCACTGGGAATAGGATCCTTTTACAGTCAGTTATAGAGAATGAGACGGGCAGTTAATAACTTATGGGAAAGATATTTCAGCTTTTTATATCTCACACCATCTAAACCAGGACTAGACCTACATGCCTGCATCAAATCTCTAACTCAGGCCTGGGAAATTCTCCATTAGATGGCTCAGAGTTGGTATAACTGAATACAATAGGAATTTCTCAGAACATACCTTGAGAGAAAGAAATGTTAGTATAGTTGCTGCCATTAAAAACGGCAGCAAAATTTTCACCAGTCTTCTGCTAATTACAGGGCTGTGGAGTCATCCTTACTTTCAGTTTTTTGAAATATGCTTCCTTGAGGAAATAAACTAATATCAGTTTTCATACTTGTACTGACGTATACATGACATTAAAAAGCAAGACCATGGAAGTTTTAGATCATGCCATTTAATAAAATAGAAACCAACCTGAAAAGATTATACATAAACAAGAATTCAGTACATAAATTAAATATACACATCTAAAAATTTGGTATATGTTTACTACATTAATACAGTTAAGCGAAATTTCTCTAATAAGTAACGATTTAAGACGTAAAAGATTCTAATAATCACAGCAAAAAAAAAAAAAAAAAAAAAAAAAAAAAAGTAAAACTTTCAGAGCTACACTATTACGTTTAAAAAAATCAGAATAAATTACAATCATCTAAACTTATTCACATCCTTCTCTATCACTTTCGTTTGAGGATAATTAAAATTACATCGACATAAATTTATAAATAATTTTTAGCTTAATCCGCATGAACAAGAATTACTTGTTATGTAATTAACCTGAGTTAAGGAGTCTCCAAATAATACAACTTTTGGCCAAATTATGTCATGGACGCTCATATTTCAAAAACTAAAATTCTTGACGCTCTTTACTATAAAACGTTCAAAAGAAAAGTAACCAAAATATGTTTTTAAACGACTGATGCCAGTTCCACAGTTGGAAAAATATCTTGAAATATCAAATTGATTGCAAACCAAAGACACTAAATCCATGAATATTCAACGCTTAATTTCAAATTTCATGTCTCAAATTCCATGCTTCCATTTCATGAAAATTTATCATAGCCGTGGGCACAGAAGAAACACGATTAGAGAGACTTTTGTTAAAGGAATGCTTTCTTAAAGAAAATTCTTAACTTTGACCGCGTTGTTAGTTGTCAGCCTTTGAATGTGTGGGCAGAAAGACTTAGCGGATGCAAAACAAGACATCTGTCTGTCTGCCTGTTTACAAGCAAGCGATGATTTAAATTGCTTCGAAGAGCAGCAAACAAAACTAAAGATACTGGTTCATGTACTATATAATGAGTTAAATTTACTATTTATATCAGTGATTACCATTTTCAGGTAATTTATGGAAGGAAAGTGAATAATTTTAAGTCAGGAAGACTTTTCTTTTTATTAAATAGTCTTCTGATCTGTATAGATATGTAGTGCATCTATAGTTAATTTAATTTTGATATTACATGTGCTGTATGGTAAAAGTGAAGGATATCGAACCAAACTTCTAAAATGGCTTGTAATTACCACTAGAGAAATTACTGAGCTCTTGGGATTACACTAAACTTCATTTGTTTTACCTTCTGTTTCTGTTCATTATTTTTGACAGAGAACAGTCATTTGCATATAATTCAAGCTGGCTTTCATATTTATTTTTCAGAATAAAGTTTAGTGCTACTTTCATGTTTTGTTTATATTTATATAAATATATTTCCAAATGAAGAAGCTATTAGATTAATTACAATTAAAGCTAAGTAAAATATAGTGCAATCAGGTTCTATTTTTGTTATTAAATGTGGATATACAATTAAAATGCATTTTGAAAAAATGTTAGATTTATGAAGGGGTAAAGCAAAACTTTCTGAAATTCTGTATTACAGCAAAATGTTAAATTAGAGGTACTTGCATAATGGTTATCAATTTTGAAGGGGGAAAAAAAAAATCTTTTAATGTAGTTCAGAAAGGTGAAGCAGTCTAGATTAAAAAAATTTTCTAAATAAAGGTAAAGAGATAAAAAGTTTGGAATCACTGTGGAAAAAAGTACTGTCTTTTATACATCGATGCTATTATGTTATCTAATAGCATAAATAAAGTCAGATTGCAGTATTTTCAGTTTTATTTAAAATTGATTTTCTCAAGATATACAGTAAGGATATGTAACTGAATCTGATTATGCATTCTACAAAAATTTTGTCACCTATTAAAAAGCAGGATGGGAAAGCAGTGCATCAAATGAAAAAAGCCTCTCCAACAAAAGCTGAAGACATGAAAGATGATTTGATAGGAATGAAATTAAAAAATCTAAAGCCACAGCTTGCTCAGTCAAAAGTTAAAATAAAATCTATCAACAAACATGAAACAATGCTTCAGAAAAACATATCAGTATTAGAAGCTAGAACTGTTCTAAAAATTTCAGAAAAGCGTAAAAGTGAAAAAAGTTTAAATGCTGATGGAAAAAGGCTGAAATATGAATCTGATCCAGATGTTGGGTCTAAAAGTATGAACTCCGGTCTTTCCAATGTAAAAAAACAAAATAAATCAAAAATAGTGTATCCTAAAACTCATGCTAATTATGTATGTAAGTTCTGTTGTCGACGTTTTCATTCTGTTGACCTTTTGCGAGAGCATGCTGCAAGTCATGGAAATAAACCATCTCATGTGTGTTATCTATGCAATCATCAAGCCGGTACATTTTCTGCACTGATGACTCATTATTTAAAACATTCTGGCACAAAAGGTGGTAAAGTTGAAAATATATATGCTAAAAGCAAAGCTGATTTTTGCAACATTCAGTTTAACATTTCATCTCGTCCAAAGTCAGCTGTACGATGTACACATTGCAGATCATCATTTCCTTCAAGAGAAAAATTAGACTCTCATAACTGTCCTATAGCGCTGCAGAAGAAAGAATACAACTGTGCATATTGTGGACACATTTCATCATCTGTTGATGAGTATCGCAATCATGTGCAAAGTCATTCTGTTACACCATTTAAGTGTTTATATTGCAATTTCAAACTTCAAACAAAAAAACAATTGGATAAACATTATGATGTGTGTAAAAAACATCCTAAACCTAAATCTATAACTTTGAAATGTGATAATTGTTCTCTACAATGTAAAAGCAAAAAAGAATTTAATCTACATATAAAAACATGTGACAAATCATCAGATAATGTACCACAAGATGTGCATTGTTTCCACTGCAATGCGAAATTTGAAACAAATGCATTATGTGAAAATCATATATTAACTTGCAAAGTAGATACAAAAAAAGAAAATTCTGTTACAGATCTTAAAACAAAACGTTCCAAAGAAATTGCAATTATTAAATCCAATAAAGAAAAATATTTATGTTCTATTTGTGGGGATATGTTCAACAATGAATCTGATTATAAATCTCATGGCAAAAATTGTCCACTTGATGCTGAGCTGTTAAATGAAAAGACATCTGTTTTATGCCCGAATTGTGGTGATATTTTTCACACATCAGCGATAAATAATCATCTTAAGTCTTGTGCATCCCAAAATGAAGATTTTAAGAGTTCAGAAGCAAGTAAAGAGATAGACAGAGAAACTCTTGCTAAAAATGAATCTGAAGCTCTTACAGCTAGACGAAGTGCACGCCTCGTTGGAAGAAAATGCACATTTACTGAAGATAGTGATTCAAAACCCAAAAAGCTTCTTAAAATTAAATTACCCAAAAAAACAAAAGTAGTAGTGAATAAAATCAAAGGTAGAAGAAATCGTAGATCGAAAAATCCTGACAATAATTTTATTTGTAATATCTGTAACTTCACCTTTTGCAGCAAGTCGACTTTACTTCGCCATAAAAGAATGCATTCTGGTAATCCATGGTTTATATGTAAGTACTGTGGTAAGTTTTTCTTTCGTAAAGATGTTTATATTCGTCATGAAATTAATGTTCACAATAAAAGCCCTAAAACTGTTTTTTGTTGCTATTATTGTAAAGTTTATTTTAACAATTCTTTACAATTGAAAGATCATGTTTTAGAAACACATAAAGAGAGTGCATTTTTACCAATGAAGATGCCTTTAGAAAATGATGATAAAAATAAAGCACCTATTTTAATAAAAATGGAGCCATTTCTGGATGATGAGGAACAAGTGGGTTTGGGAGATACAAGTAACTGTAAAAAGAGCATTTCAAGCATAGAGACTGAATCTGATAAGACAATCAAATCTTCATCTTCCTCAGCTATTTGTTCTTCATTCAAGTGTGGAATATGTTCTGTAAGTTTTGAAAATGTTTTTGATATGGAAGCTCATTTAAAATGTCATAATGATGATAGGAGTGATATCATTTGTCAAGAAATTAATGCAAATAAATCACTGTCTGAGTTAGTATGTAAAGATTTAAAAACTGATGGAGTAACTACCTCTTTGAATACAAAAATGTTTAAATCATTTAATAATTGTACCCAGTCAAAATCTTCATTTGGTCCTCCATCAATTTCTAAAAAATCTTCCAAAACTTTAATTAAGAATGACAGTGATATATTAGATGAATCTGCTGATGCAGATATTGTAGATGCAGTGGAGTGCCAGTCTGAAAATTCAAATGAAATACCAATGGCTGAATTTTCTTGTGAAGATATTCCTGTTAAAGATATTGAAAATGAAAAGGGTGAGTTTTTATGTCGGCTTTGTTTAAGTCCATTTTCAAGTAAACAGCTATTAAAAATTCATGAAAATACTGTACATAAGCTTGTTGATTGGTATCAGTGTTTAGTTTGTGATGCATGTGGACCTAAGCAAGAAATGCAAGAACATATGTTTTTTCATATGTACAAAGTTGGTACATTTGTCATTAATGATGATGGAAGTAGTTTTGATTCCCTCCGGCCATATTTAGTTGATTATAATCAAAGCAGAGTTAAAGAAGCTAATAAATCTGAATATTCCAAAAATCTGAATGCACATTTAAACATTTCCGAGTGTGAAATTTCAGATAAAAACACAGAAATTGATTTACCTCCTTTGAAAGAATTTGGATTAAATAATGTAAATGCTGCCTATAATGAAAATCCTGTATCAGATGCATCACAGAATAAATTTCAAGTTCCAGAAACTCTTGCCGTATCTGAAGGCTACAGAGAGAAATGTCAAGAAAATATTGATAAGACACCAAATAAATCTGAAAATTCCTTGAACATGGAGAATATTACTTCGAAAAATGGGTATTCTACTTTGCCTGAGATGGGAGGTGTAAGTGAAGGCAGTTCCGTGTTAAAAGAAAATGAAAGTACTTTTGATGCTTCAAAAAATTGCCTAGAAGATTCCAACCAATCACATGAAGCTCAAAATTTTTCTCAGAAAGATAATTTGATGCCTATTAAAGAGACAAGTGATTTTAAGATCATAAATAGATCAAATCCTTTGGAGTATGACAGTACCAATGGGGATCAGAATCAGAGTTTTTCACATTTACGTTATCTGCTTCAAAACTTCAATAATAGCAATACCTTTGATGGCAAAGGAGAGGCAGGTTTCTTCAGTCAGCCACCAAGTCCTTTGCAAAGCCCTCAAAAGATGAACACTTTGAAAAGATGTTCAGAAAATAATGTGGATATTGCCACATTTTCATTGAAACAGTTGAATCAAGATATAGGTTCATCCAGTAATACAGCATTATCTAACTCTGCTGATTTATCAAAGCAGAGCTCACAGTTTTCAAATGAAAATAATTCTCATTCTCTAAATGTACCAGAATCAAATCAAAGTTTTAATACTTGCCTTAAATTTGATATCACACAATCACGTGGTGAGTTTTCTGAAAATATGCCTTCACAGTCTAAAAGTCAAAGTTCTGGTGAATGTAAGAGTATGAATAAAATTGGAAACATATTTAAACCTGGCCATTCACATAATACAATCTTAGATTTTTCTGATTTACTTCAAAATTCATTTGGTGATACTATTAGTGCAGGTGATGATAATGTCTTTCAGTATTTGTGCCAGTCAAATCAAGTCTCTAGTGAATTACCAAATTACTGTGAAAAAATTTCAAAAGTGGATAACAAAGTTACAGATGATGTAATTAGCTATTCTGATAATCTTTTT